AGGCATAGGTCTCAAATTCTAAATTAGGAGGCATTCTTCTAATGTCACTAATTGCTCTATGGAAACAGTATATTTGATCATGAGGAATAGCACATGGAATAAAATGACCGCAGACATCCCATCACAAAGGAATACAGGGCAAGGAAGGAACATATAAAACATATCCATTTTACTTTTTAGTAAACACAGATAAATTAAGAAAGCCATGCAACTTTACACAACTGACTTAAATCTGAGGTCACAAGAGAAATTATTCCATCTTCAATGGAAATCCTCTTTTGGAAGAATAGAGTGAGCCAAGTGCAGAGAGTACAAAAACATCAAGATAGAATCTCATTTGAATGAATGTGCTCAAAGAGAGTCAGTCAAATCCATAATTTCCTTTCACATAGTTGGAAAAGAAGTTGGCTTCTGCAACTGAGTTAACTTTCTGGACACGTCAATCTTTCCTGGAACCACAATTCACAACTTATTGTGATCTTGTGCACATCTGGGATAAGCCCTCATGATGCAAATATTAAAACCAGTCTGCTTCCCTAAAAATATCTATACTTAGAATCAAACAAATAATTTGAGAAAATAGGTGACTATGCAAAATATGTTATTTCGCAGGCAAATAGGAATTTCCTGGACCATGCTCAAATTAGTTTTAATCCAGCCAAACATTAACTGATGAAAGTGCCATTTATATTTTGCACTTATTTTATGCCACAAAAAAACTCCAACATTCTTATTGTCATTATTATTCACAGGGATTTCAGAAAGACTCTAATATTAAGAAAATCTTAAACACCTTGAAATATATTTTACCTCATATTTTTCTTCAAATAAAATTGTATATATGTACCTCAGTAAATATGGTACAATAATCATGTTGAAGCATGATAGTTTAAGATAATTATGAAAATATAGTTTATGTTTTCAATGTGCAGAAGAAAAGATACAGTTTTCCCATCATAAATAATACAGGCAAAATCATAAGTTACAGCTAATGGTAGATTTTAAAAATAACTTTGTATATGTTATTTCATATGAATCATATTTCAAGTTTATGTGAACAGACAAAATATATAAAATAACCATACCCACCTATACATTCACTATAAAAAATTAGTAATATTAATGAGTACATACAAACTTGGAAATATTTGTTGAGTTTCAATTCATTAGTCCTGAAGCTAGCCCTGATCTGCATGTGTACCTTATGGCATTTGACTTGAAGTCTGCATAACAGGAAAATATACTGCAATTTATTTATATGGCAATATAGAGTCACGTTCAAATGTTGAATCTAATCCATTCTGACTTCATGACCTTGAATAGATTTTACAAATATCTCTCAAAGTTATTATCATCTGTAATACAGGATTAAAATAGATCTCATAGCCTAAGGAATTCATAAATGGTGAGAAAAAAAAAGGAATTTATCAATTGTAAAGATTGTGGAGAAAGATGGTAAGATAGGAATCTCCTACATTTCCCTTCTCCCATACTCACTGTATGGAGCAGTTCCTTCTGAGAGAAATCCAGAAACTAGCAGAGTGATTTTTACAAATTGAGTGAATGAGAAAAAAAGCCCACATTAAAATGGGTAAGGTAGGCTAAGACATATTCTCACCATAATCCAACTACCAGCATCTCTTAAGGAGTGAAGGGTTTGAATATATTGCACATCTAGGACCTAAACTTTTAAGGTTCCTACCCAAGGAATGGGCCCCTAAATACTTCCCTAGCTTTGAAACCTATCAGGACTTCTGTTCACAAGTCCCACAACTATAGCAAGCAAAGAACCAGCTCTTAACAATTATATGAGCACTTGCTTTATCCCCAGGCTCACAAGAGGGAACAGGCAGAAAACACCCATCTCCCAGTCTTTCACAAGAAAGGATTTGACTGCATACTTTACAAGCTGCTGCTTTAGGGATCCAGTTTCTACTTTACATGCATAAGTATTGACAGTGATCTTTTACAGCACCCAAAGGAGTTGGGGCGCTTCTGCCTTCTTTCTCTGGTTCACTCAAACAAGTCACCAGTTATCTCCCTAGAAGGAGCATGTTCACATATCTACTACCCTAACTTTTATGGCTGTCACTGGAAAGAACCTCAATTACTTAGCTCTGATAGCCAACAGGGTTTTCATTCACGAGTCTGACAAGGCTATAGGGGATAAAAGAAGTTTTTAAACAGGCATATAAGCACCCTCCATCCCATGGATATGCATCTAGGTTCACTGCAGAAGGAACAACAACAACAAAAAAAAAATCTCCCAATTTTTGCCTGGAAGGAGTTTGACTGCATTGTTTACTAGCTGCTATAATACATGAGGGCTCAGCTTCTAATGAACCTCTATCAAGGTGCTGGCTAAGATTCTCACCTGATGGACACTCATAGGTCTTTGTATACCCTCAAATACTGGGAGCCACTACAACAAAGACTATGGCTTGGATAATCACAAAGGTTTCAGAGGTAACCAGAAGCTTAGGCTAGACTGATTAATGAAGCTAATCTACATGAGCTTGGTCTGTCAAGATAGGGAGAGGTCTAGCTAATGTGCAAAACAAGTAATTTGAGTCAAGGAAAATGAAGGAAAAGGGGAATATATTCCAAACACTAGAAGATAAAATCCAGAAACTGATCTTAATGAAATAGAGATTAAGTATTCAAAATAATCAATAAGATGTTTACTGAGATCAGGAGAGCAATACATGACAAAGTAAGAATTTCAATAAAGGGATAGAAAAGGTTTAAAAGTGCCAAACAGAACTAAAACAGAATAACTTAACTGAAAAATTCAATAGAGGAGTTTAACACAAGGCTAGGTCAAAGGGAAGAAAAGATCACTGAAGAAGGAGAGTGGGTGGTGGAACTCATCCAATCTAAGTTAGCAAAAGAAAAAATAATGAAAACAGTGAGGACAGTTTATATAACAATATATGTATGTAACAATATACAGAACAACAAGAGAAAAGGCTATAAAGCTAATTTGTAGAGATAACGACTGAAAACATCCTAACCTGGGGAAAGAAACAGAAATCCAGATCCAGAAAGTCAAACGAGCATTAAAAAATATCCATCCTACCCAAAGTGATCTACAGATTCATTGTAATCCAATCAAAATTTCAATGTTATATTTATTTTACCACAATAAAAAGTTACAAAGGGGGAAAAAAAAAACCCAATGGCATTTTTTACAGAAATAATAAAAACAATCCTAAACCTCGTGTGAAACCACAAAAGACCTCAAATAACCAAAACAATCTTGATAAAGAATAATAATGCTGGAGTCATTCCACTTCCTGATTGCAAATTATATTACAAGTAATCAACACAGTATGTATTAGCATTAAAAACAGACATATAGATCAATGGCACAGAAGAGAGGGCTCAGGAATATACTCATGCATAAATGTCAATCAATATTCAACAAAGAAACCAGGAATACACACTGGGAAAAGGATAGACACTTTAAGAATCAATACTGGTTAAACTGGATAGCCACATGCAAACGAATGAAACTGGACACCTGTCATAGATCATACACAAAAAGCAATTCAAGACTGATTAAAGATGTAAATGCAAGGTTTCAAGGCCATAAAACTCTTAGAAGAGAATACAGGGGTTAAATTTCTTGACAGTGTCCGAGGCAATGATTTTTTGGATCTGACACCAAAAGCAAAAAAAAAAAAAAAAAAAAAACAAGACAAAAATAAACAAGACTACATTAGACTAAAAAGTTTCGGCAAAGAAAAGGTACTCATTAAAAAAAATGAGAAGGCAACTTAAGGGGGCCTCCCTGGTGGTGCAAGGGGTTAAGACACAACCTATGAGGCTAACCACAGCCACTGCAGCACGAGTTCGATCCCCCATCCAGGGAGCTACCCACATGGCGCAGCAGACCTCTCCTGTCTCGCCTGCTGCTCCCCTCAGCAGTGTATTTCAGTCATTCTGCCTATTCTGTTCCTCTCTGTCTCTCGCGAATCCTCTCACCTACCACACCTCTGGCCTGTACTCTGGTTCTTGTATGCATAAATAAATAAATTAAAAAAAAAAAGAAAGGCAACTTAAGGAATGGGGAAATTGTTTGCAAACCACACATCCAAAATGATGTTAATATTTAAAATAAATACTCATACAACTCAACAGGAAAAAAAAAACATAGACCAATTAAAAATGGGCAAAGATCCTGAATAGCTATATTTTCAAAAAGACATACAAATGGACAACAGGTATGTGAAAAGCTGCTCAACATCAGTAATGATCAGGAAAATGCAAATTAAAACTACAGTGAGAAACAGAGAAGCTTAAATGCTGGAACCCAGTTTACTCTATTGGTGGGACTAAACTGGTATGGCCACTATGTTGTATGAGGAGTATCAAGAAGATAAAAAATAGAACTACCATAAAATTAGCAATCTCACCTCTGGGAATATTCCCAAAGGAAAGGAAATTACTATTATAAAGATATCTGTTACTCCCATTTTTATTGCAGCATTATAGCAGTAGTCAAGGTATAAAAGCAACAAAGTGTCTATCAATAGATGAATGGAAGAAGAAAGGTATTTATATCTACAGCTGTGTATAAAAAAGGTAATACATCACAAAGACCAGCTTATTTATAATGGCTCAATATTAGAAATACTAAATAATTTAACTCACAACAACCAAATAGGTTTCTTTGCTATACAATGGTGTATTAGTTAGTTTTAGAGGTAAAAAGGGAACTCCTGTCATTTGTGATAACATGAATGAGAGAGAGCTTTATGCTAAATGAAGTAAGCTTTATGCTAAATGAAATAAGCAGACAAAGAAAGAAAACTACTGCATCGTATTACTTATTTAGAACCAAGATTATTTGGTATCCAGATAACCATACTTATTTGAAACATTTCTTACCTAAAGTTGGAAGAGCATCATTGTGCTTCTGAATACATGGGATTTTAATAAAAGAAAAAAAATAAACAAGTACACAACCCTACTATTTCATACTTATAGTTTCTTACCTTATTTCCTAGAAGGGCATTTACACAGGCTTCTGATGCATCACATATGGCAGTGAGATCATGTCCGCCTTCAAGAGCCAGCACCACATGTCCATCAGCCAATGTCATCAGTTGCTTCGTCAAATGACCAAAGCCTACCATGACACAAACAGAAAGTTTCAAAGAATTAGATCAAGAGCTAAATGACAGTTTAGCACTGTAAAGCTATCTGCAGCCTCTGCAGCATGAGTTCCATTCCCGGCCAGCCAGGGAGCTACCTACATGGCACAGCAGACCTCTCCTGTCTTGCCCACTGCTAGTCCTCAGCAGTGTATTTCACTCAGGCTGCCTGTTTTGTTCCCCACTCTGTCTCCAGTGAATCCTCTCACTGCCCCACACCTCTGGCCAGTACCCCAGTTCTTGCATGCATAAGTAAATCTTTCTTTTTAATTTTATTTTTATATTCCCCATACAATTGCAACCCCCTGACTTTGACCCCCAACCCTCTTTTCCCCGCCCTCAACCCCCCATAGTGTGTCCCTGGTTCATAGTTGTTTGTTGATTTTGATTTTTTCTTTCTTATAGTTATTCTTTTTCCTGGTCCCTTATTTAGGTTTTCTAGATTCCTGCTATGAGTGAGACCATCCGGTATTTTTCTTTTTCTTTCTGGCTTATTTCACTGAGCATGATCCCTTCCAGCTCCATCCATGTTGCTGCAAATTGCATGTGTTTATCTTTTTTGAATGTTTATAGCAGCACTATTTACAATAGCTAAGCTTTGGAAACAACCCAAATGCCCAAAAATAGATGACTGGATCAAGAAGATGTGGTACATATACACCATGGAATATTACTCAGCATTCATAATAAGTAAATAAATCTTAAAAAAAATTTTTTGAAGATCCCCCTGGGTGATTCTCTGTGTGTTTAATAGGGGTCCTCAATTTCTGCTTATAATTCCATTGCTTTCCATGATTTAATTTGCTTGTTTTTCAAATTTATAAAATAGTTTTATAGTTCTTACAACTTGCTCTTTTCATAAATTTCGGTAGCTCATCACAGTTGATGCATGTAGCTACAGTTCTTTGTTGTCCATTAGACTATTTTAGGATCATGGAAAAATTTATTTGCCCTTACTACTGATGATCATATTTAGGTTTTTTGTTATGATAAAATTCCAGTGTTTTAAACAACCCCCTCACGAATATTCTATACAAGTTTTCTGGTGCATATATGCAAGAGTAGAGTGAAATTGTTGTGACTTAAATCTGCTAAATAATATCAGATTATTTCCAAGAGACTATAAACAACCCCTATTCTGAAAGCAGTCTATTTAAGAATTCAAGGTTGGTCACATCCTTACCACATATGGTATGATTTGCCATGTGCGTGGGTAAAAAATGGCTTCTTACGATTTCATTCAGTATAAGTGGGGCATTTCTATTTCTAATTTGAATTAGAATTTTTATTACAAGTAAATGTTGAATTTAATTAATTTCTCTATAGCAAATGTTTTCTCCTATAACTTCATTTTGCTGTGAGTTACATTAGTTAATATTTCTAATATTAGGTCATAATTGAATTTATGGGATAAAACGAGCTGGTTGCAATACAGTATTATCTATTTTAACACACAGCTTGATTTGTTTTGCTAACACTTTGTTTAGGATTTTTTTCACCTATATTTATGAAGAGAGTTAATCTGTATTTTTTTCTTTCTTGTATTAAACCTGTTGATTTTGATGTGGTTGAGATCCTCATTTCTCATTGCTTGACCCTAGAATATTGGCTAGAACTCTTTTTTTTAAAAGTATTTTTTATTTTTTAAAGACTTTTTTTTTTAAGATTTATTTTTATTTATTTATACAAGCACTGGGTACAGTCAGAAGCGCGGGAGGGTGAGAGAATGCACCAGAGCCAGAGCAGGGAGCAGAACAGGCAGAAGGACCGAAGCACACTGCTGAGGGGAGCAGCAGACAGCAGGAGAGGTCTGCGCGCCATGTGGGACCCTCCTCCCATGGCAGGGGAGCAGCTGGTGATCGAACAGGTGCTGCAGAGGCTGCAGGCAGCTTGGCAACCCAGCGCTCAACCGCTGCACCACCGGGGAGGCCCTAGAACTGTTTTTTTTTTTTTAAAGGATTATTTATTTATTTATTTATACAAGAACGGGGGTGCAGGCCAAATACTCGGGAGGGTGAGAGGATTCACCAGAGACAGAGCGGGGAACAGAACAGGCAGACTGACGAAATACACTGCTGAGGGGAGCGGCAGGCAAGACAGGAGAGAGGTCTGCGGAGCCATGTGGGACCCTTGCCGGCAGGCCGGGATCAAACCAGTGCTGCAGAAGCTACTGACAGCTTCACAGAGCTGCGCTCAACCTCCTGCGCTACCAGGGGAGGCCCGAACTCTTTTTTTTTTTTTTTTTTTTTAAAGATTTATTTATCTGGGCCTCCCCTGGTGGCGCAGCTGTTGAGACTGGGCTGCGAAGCTACCCGCAGCCTCAGCAGCGCCTGTTCGATCCCCGGCCGCCGGCGAGGGTTCCACATGGCCTGCAGACCTCTCCTGCCGCACCCTTTGCTCCCCTCAGCAGTGTATTTCAATGGTCTGCCTGTTCTGTTCCCCACTCTGGCTCTGGTGAATTCTCTCACCCTCCCACACTTCTGACTGTACCCAGTGCTTGTATAAATAAATAAATCTTAAAAAAATATATAAAGATTTATTTATTTATGCATACAAGAACTGGAGTACTGCTGAGGGGAGCAGTGGGCCAGACAGGAGAGGTACCATGTGGGTAGCTACCTGGCTAGCTGGGGATCAAACTCATTGCTGCAGAGGCTGTGGATAGCATCACAGTGATGTGCTTAACCCCTTGCGACACCAAGGAGGCCCTGGATAGAATTCTGTAAAACCATTTAAGGCTTGTGTTCTCTTTAAGGAAGATTATGAATTATAGTGCTGTCATGATTCCTCATATTCCCAAATTATATTTTTCTAGAAATGTGTTTCCTTTATTTAGTAATAAAATTATTAAACAAATTTGCTCATTAACTATATTATTTTATTTTGGAACTCCAATGACTGTACATGGTCCTTGTCATATTCTCAATGTCTCATAAATTTTCATTTTCATTTTTATTTTTATATTTTCTGTTCTGAATTATGGATACTTTTTTCAGACCAATCATCAGAATTTCTCTTTCTAGATGTATTTAATCTGCTTTGAAAGTTTCTATTGATACTTTCACTTCAGTGATCATAAGTAAAACCTGGAAACAAACCAAATGCCCAAAAATAGATGACTGGTGGGCCTCCCCGGTGGCGCAGCGGTTGAGCGCTGGGTTGCGAAGCTGCCCGCGCCCGAGGAGCCGGTTCGATCCCCGGCTGCTCCCCGGCCACCGGAGGAGGGTCCCATATGGCGCACAGACCTCTCCTGCCGCCCGCTGTTCCCCTCAGCAGTGTACTTCGGTCCTTCTGCCTGCTCTGCTCCCCGCTCTGGCTCTGGTGAATTCTCTCACCCTCCCGTGCTTCTGACTGTACCCAGTGCATGTATAAAAAACAAACAAACAAACAAACAAATAAATAAATAAATAAAGCATGCCTCTATTAAAAAAAAAAAAAAAGATGACTGGATCAAGAAGATGTGGTATATATACACAATGGAATATTATTCAGCAATGAAAAAAGATAAACTCATGTCATTCGCAGCAACGTGGATGGACCAAGAAGGAATTATGCTCAGTGAAATAAGCCAGAAGGAAAAAGAAAAATATCGGATAGTTTCAATTATAACAGGAATATAGGGGAACCAAATAAGACATCAGTGTAAAAAAAAAATAATAACAGTACAAAACACAACAAAGCAAAAACAGACAATTAAAAAGCAGAGATATACTGCAGGGGAGGAGGGGGGAGAGGCGTGGAAGGGAGGGAGGAAGGAGCACAGGGGACTGTGCTGATGGTGCATGGGTACCTTGGGAAAGGAAATTCTATGGGGACTCAATCTGAAGGGGTGGGGGAAGCAAATATTGTCTAAAAATGTAAAAAATGATAAATATTAAAATAAAAGATAATAATAAAAATGGTGCTGGGAAAACTGGACCGCCACATGCAAAAAAAAAAAAAAAAGAAACTAATTCAAACTTTTAACTTCTTGTATTATTTAAAATATATAAAACAGTATTTTATTTTACCTCATTTACTTACTACATATAATATTTAGAATATTTCTATATCCATGAAAACAGGAAGAATAAATTTCAGTGTGAAAATGCATGTTCTGCAAGGCAACTTGGACTGCTTCTAAGCTGGCCTCTGTTTCTCTCTTTAATCATTATAATAATTGTTTGAAAAGAATGGAAATTCTGAGAATAGAGTTAGTAGAACTAAATGAAAGTCTATAAAATTATCAATGAAACCATGAAACCCAAATCCAAGCTAAATTGCTCTGATTTGGAACAATAAAATAAGACTACCTTAATCCTTGGAATGCATTGAATTATCCACCCTAAAAAGCCAGAAGGGTTCAGAAATTCAGCTCTGGTTTTGTACTTTAGGTTAGCCATGACCAAGATGAGTTCATTTCCTCACTATCTTGAAGCATGTCAATGTTGATTCTATGCACTTAGCTAATATTCCAAGGGAAGTCAAAATAATGACTTTGTAATTATCCTATGTTTCTAGACACTTGGCAGAAAATATTTTCAAAGGATTTAAAAATTAGGTGAAGGATATTTTCAAGCACTGCAATATTTCTCAGTTCCAGTGAACTTAAAGATGATAGCAATAGTCATATTTTCCTCAAGGCACTTAATAATGAGGTTGATCATACTTAAACTCTGCTTTCTATCTGATTACTCTAAAAAGAAAAGTAGTTTTCAGAAAATGTATAAAGCAAAGTTCTGATCTCTAATTCTTAGAAATTTTCTTGGCCTGAGTTAAGTAAGGTTATAGCCCACAGTGGTTAGTTCTACTCTAAAAAATAAAGGAGCAAGAAGTACTCATAGAGAAGTACACATTTCTGCTAATCATATTGCTAAATACTCTAGACAGTGTTTCCTGTAACTTAAACCAGGTTAACAATGGTAACTTAAAGAGAAATTATAATAAGTGAATACAACATATCTTTCATACTGAAGGTTCCTAGCAATTGAGAAAT